AACTTGTTAGGTTAGATAAGGATACAAGAATAACCCAAATTGGCTCGAGCGGAGTGGGAGCCCAGAGGCAAGTGTCCGCTCAGGATAACTGTATCGCGTGTCCTTCCCTGGATAACAACTTCAAGATCACAAGATAAGCTCCACCATTAGCATCAATGTTTATTTCCACAAACACTAGCGCGTCCCTACTTTTTTTGTTTTGCAAAGAATGTTTGAGTTTTTTAAAAATCGACAGTGTAAAATGCCCTGTTGAACAGTAGTTTTCTTTTGAACTTATTGTGTGTGCGTGCGTGCGTGTGTGTGTGCGTGTGAGGATGTGGAGGATAAGTCAGTTTGTCTGAATGTAAAGTGTGACAAGATCTAACTTGTTAAGCTCGAAAATGAAGGGAACTGGTTAGAAGTATTTTCCATTCCAGGTCTGGAAGAAAAATTAACAGAGTATTAAAAATGTTTTACAGTCTCCTCCTTCACTTCAACTGGATTTTATTAATCTCTATTAAATAAAAAAAAAAAAATCAGAGTTATGATTTTTTTCCATATTCAAGCTGCCCTGCTCCCTCAGGTGTTCCCAGTCCTGACTGGATGGATACGTTCCCTCTCCTCGGGTTTCCTTTAGTTTGTATGGCTGAAAAAGAGAAAAGCTGTGTAGAATGTGTTTCCTGTGCCATGCTACACAGACTTTAGGTGTAACCTTGCTCTTGGTTCCCTCGGCAGCCCTCCAGTGTTACTGTGACCGCTGCAGCGCCAACTCCAGCTGCACCACAGATGGCGTCTGCTTTGTGGCCATTAGGAAGTCGGGGAGCCAGCAGATCTCAGAACAGCGTCAGTGCATACATGACAGCGAACTGATCCCTCGAGACAGACCCTTCGTCTGCGCCCCGAACTCCAGAACGGACACTGGCATCTTCCCCATGTGCTGCTCGTCTGACTACTGCAACAAGGAGCCGGATTTCACAGTCTTTCGTAGGTATCCACACCGACACCTCACAACAGCTGCTAACGTACAGCTTCTAGACTTTTCAACAAAAATAATCCAGCCGATGTGACCAAACTCATCTGGGAATAAACAGATGTGTTTGAATAAAGGGCTGAGTTACAATAACTCAATGTCTTGTTGCCTTGTATTTATGCCTTGGATTTATTGGAGTGAAACCAGCTTTGAGAACATAAAGAGCTCAGACTGTGACCTCTTTAAAGATGGAACATTTTTCACCTGAGACTCTTCAAACAGAGCTGGGCCAAGGACACACAATCACAGAAATGAAACTATAAAGGCAGACTTTAACAGAATTCAAGTGGGTGTGTCCCAGAGAGTCCTGCATAGAAATAATCCTGACACTGGTTCACTGATCTTTATGTCATCTTTAATCATGATGAACCCATCATGGAAGCCTGAAGGCCTATCTTGCATTTCACCAAAGTGTCATCAGATCCATCATTTGTTATGGAAGTCCATGTCTGAAGTTCTCTGCTTGTCTGAGATCTGGTTAGTAATAATCCCCCACCTGTGGATGTGCCAGACCATGATATCTTTAGAACAGAGGGGTGTGTGTGTTTGCAGGGGGATAGAAAGTGTCGTTTAATAGAACAGGCATGTTTACTTACCATTGAGTGTATCGGTCTTAAGATGGCTCTCTCACCACAGATGTCAACAACACTTACTAAGCTTAAAGAATGTAACACAAAGAAGGAAATCTCTTGTTACCAAAAGATTTCATCTTTATCTGGCTCACCAAAACTAATGCTAAGCACTTCATTAATAGTTCATATGTTTTAGAAAACATCACTCAATTGAAACAGTGATGTGGAAAACCTGAAATCAAATTTGGATACAGTTGGTGTTGGTGCTATCTGTATTGATTTCCAGAAAGCTTTCAACATCATGTATTGCTTAATGAATTCTCTTATTTTAGCAGTTTTTTAGGTGGATTAAACTGCATTAATTTCATGTTTAACAAAGTGTATTAGGGTACAGCACAGCTATGGGGTCCCACAGGGGTCCGTGTTGGGCCCATTGCTTTTCAGCTTGTTGTTCATTAATGACTTACCAGAATGATGCTCAGATGTACATGTATGCAGATGATCCAGTCTCAGGGTTTCCCCCAGAAAACTTGCTAAGTCCAGTGGTCGGGGCGACGAGGTGTTCCACCAGCGGTCCACCGGGTTTTTGTATTACAAGATGTTAAGTAAGCAGGAAATATAAAAATATTACTGGAAGACATCGCCAGTGAAACGCTATTTAAACTAGGGTTGTTGTAAACGAATATTTTAGTAATATATAGATTATTCTTACGATTAATCGAGTAATCGAATAAAAAAATGTGTAAAATAAAATATTGGTAAATCTGGCATAACATCGGTCTTGCTATCAGATATCAATATCAGTCCAATTTTTCATATTTGAGCTTCCCTAAAGGTTACTTTTTGTAGCTTAGAAAGCTAACCTGCAATAATAATAGCTCACTTTCTAAGTTAACCTGAAGAAAAGTTATACAAAGATCTGAAATTATATTCAATTTAATAATAAGGAGGCAAGCTCACAAATGCGCTTATGAAAAAATGTCTGTTGCTGGGTTTCAGATGACGTAGCACTGATGTCACCCAATGCACATGGAGGAACTAAATTCAGCCCATTTATTTCTGTTGATCCAGCATCAAAATGTCTGAAGTCTGTGTCCTGTACGGTTGCTCCAACCGTCTTAATAGGGAGAAAGATAAACGTTATTTTCATGTTTCAAAGGTAGTTGGTCACAAGAGCGTTAATTTAAAAAAAAAAACCTTACCGAAAAAAGAGGAGAAAAGTGGATCAACAAGAGAATTAGTGATGTTACTACATTCATGCATCACACACGACAGTGTTGTGGCGCTATTCAAGTATATTTTTGAAGTGAACATGTTAAGTGCAATTTGAAATGAGAAATGTAAAATATGATAAAAATAAATTTGTGTTT